TAAAGTGATGCTGAACAATACTGAAAAATGAAAATAATGTAAAAAAGCCATTTTAATTTAAAAAAATTGCAATGAATATATTGGGATCCCGTTCGTGTAAATGTGGATGATAGTAAGTCAAATGGTTGTAACTCAGGGACTGCCTGCATTGCCAGGTAAAATTGTGAGAACGAGAGCCAGGGTGGAGTCGATGCATCTTTGGCTGACTGTACATAGTTCCACTGGAACTCTCTCAAAAAATGGTACGGGTAGTTCCAAATTCCCACTCATTGCAAGTATCTAAGAGACATACAATGGGTGTATCAAATTTATTGTAACAGAAATTCCAGCCGTTCCCAAAACATAACATATTTAGTCATACAGTATACAACTACTAATCAACACTGTGGCTATAAATACACAGTACTGTACACTGTATGGTTTTCATATTCATGCTCTCAAAATATTAACTTTGTTTGAAATGGAAAACAAGACATTTTAAGCTAGGTTCCTGTGATACTTGAGAATTCAGTGAAATTCACCCTGTACTTGAAATTTTAATTTGAGATTCGTGGATGCTCCAAAATTTTAGGCTACTAAATGTTCTGCAGTACAGATACTGTATATGGTTAAAGTAATTGTAATTATAGTTTATATTTACAATACCTTGTGTATTTACTACACCTTGTATTGATTAAATTTGTAATGCAAAAAAAACTTTTGTACAGTACTGTACTACAATATTTTACCAAGATACAAAGGTCAATAAGTTAATATCTCTATGGCTTTACCACACCTTCCCCAATATCAAATACACCAAATTCAGAAATACTTAAATACCCTGTCCCATCTATGGCAAATGGTAGAGTCAACTACAATGAATTAAAAAAAAATAATAATAAATCAATAAATAATGATATACAGGGGATATTTTAGTCAGTCAACTGATCATACCTACAACACGACTTGAAATTCATTGGTTCCTGCTCTCTGTGAACCTCCTGAAGAAAAGGGACCACCAAAATAAGCAGTTATTTCGTCCAAGGTCTTGCCCTTTGTCTCCGGCACAAGTGTCACACAGAACAAGAGGTTGACGACACATATGCTGCCATAGAGCCAATACACTCCGTGGACTCCTAGGACAGACTGTGGGAACAACAGGGTGAAGTATCAAACTTGAAATATTAATCATTACTGCATAACCCATCATATCAATATACTGTATCATTATTTATAGTTAAGTATTCATTGACTTAAATTTTAAGGAAACAGTGATTATTAATTATGCAATGTAATGCAATACAAGCATTGCATTACCATGGAAAATAAAAATTTAGTGATTAAAGTATTGTATCTACTTTTTCAAAGAAAACTTACTTGAAGTGGAACAAAGGATAAAGTGACTACAAATGATAAACTCCAGTTGACCATAGTAGAGAAACTTCCAGCTGCTTCCTTCACATTGGAGGGAAACAGTTCACCTAGATAAAAAACAAGAAAAAATGCATGAAGACCTATTTCATGGCTGAGAAGAAAATAGAAGTGATCTCACAAGATAAACCATCAGAACATCATACCCTTGAGAGAGCCTGCTTTTTTTCCAATGGCTACCTGCATTCAGAGGCAGAGACACTGTGCTGTTAGGTCAGTGTAAATTTCCGTACAAACAGGTACTCATGCAATCAAACCAGGAGTTGTGAAGTGACCTCTAAGCCTGATTTACTGACTGTATCAAAAATTAAGAGAATGAACTTATATACTAGGACAACTCCTGAACTAGTTTGCTTGACCTTAGGTCTCAGACAACAATCCTCACAATTTTCTGTGAATAGTGAATTTCATCAAGGGAGGAGAAGTGTTTCCAGGTTTACTGTTACCCTTCGTTGGTGACTGTTCAGGTGTTGATCTGCGGATTCTTATTATTTTAAATTTCATCATAAAAGTGTATGAAAGTCTGAAAATGAACAAAACGGTTTTGATATTCTATGGCTTTTCAGAACAATTAGAAACTGTGCACATTAAAGAATTAGTAAATTATTATGTGATATCCATGTGGTGTCTTTTCTTAATGATAATAAAAAGAAAGAATGACGAGCTAAAAATATTAGATATATATATATACCCTGTATATTAAGGTTCCTTTGTCTGCATTGCTCTGGCCAAGCAGCCAGTGTCTATGCAAATGGCAGTTGTGTTAAAACTTTTATTTAGTTTTCCTTAATGATTTGAGCTGCATTTTTCCATCTAGATGGTATACAAATGTTATTTGAAATATATATATATATATATATATATATATATATATATATATATATATATATATATATATATATATATATATATATATATATATATATATATATATATATATATATATATATATATATATATATATATATATATATATATATATATATATATATATATATATATAGTGCCTTGCCAGAATCAAAATGCTTTAATTACGCGGTAAATTTGGTCATTTAAGCGGGTGAAGTATAATTTGTTTACTGTATTTACTGAAGATATTTGTTTTAGCTCATAAAATTCATACAAATTACCCGGCCAGAATATAATTTACATTGCTGGAATTCTTATAAGATTGTGATTATTTTAAATATAAACATCATAAAATTTGCATTAGACATACAAATATTAGATCTAATTTAAGAATTTTGATTAGAAAGAGCAAAATTTTTATCTTTTGTGCAAAATATGACATTTATATTCAAAATATTCCTTGTCTTGCAAGGAATCCAGCAATGTCAATTATATTATTCTAACTATAGTCTGAGGTATTATTTATTACTAAAAATGTAAGTTTTCACCCAAACATTTCTTAAGAGAGGGAGGAGCCAGCGAGCGTGGGAAGAGGGGGAGTTGAGTCCATTATTTGAATGGACATTACCGGCGACTGTATTTCTCTTAAATATTAATTGTGTGTGCATACCATAATAAAATTAAGATGTTATTTTTACTACAACGTAGGTATTGTGTCGGAAAAAGTGGAGCTTGGGGGTCGGCCCAGTCTCTACAGTATTTCAATTAATCCCATATGTTCTGTTATTTCATTTACGCGTTTCTCGTTTTAAGCGGGCCTCCATGGGTTCAATTGACTGCGTAAATGCAGACTCCACTGTATATGAGATAGATTTATACACGAGTACAGTACAGTATATACGGTACATTGAAACATACCTATGCAAAATCTTGTTTATTATAAATATAACTTAACCACTTGTGTATGGGGTCCTCTCTCTGTTGAATAAAATTGTCTAGCGTTAGCCAAATTAAATATTAAAAGTGACCCCGTAGTGAAGGGGTTAAATGTAAGAAGCAAGAAGCAGTCGTGTAAGAAGAAAAATCACAACGGTCAGATTTGAGGTCTGGATACAGGCCTGTTTAGGCTAGCCTAAGCTTAGGATATTGTAATGTAACTAAGTAAGCAAATGCATCTGAAAACCAAAATAAAATGAGCAACAGAGTTTTTGGAGTAAAGATTTTGAACCTGTAATGTACAACTTTTGGGTGCCATTACATTCACTCTACAAGCATAGTTATGGAAAGTTATCTATACCACCAGCATAGTATAGATCACCATATTATTACTTAGACTTACCTATCATTAGCCAAGGTATGGGGCCATATCCAATTGAGAATGCCGAAATGAAGATAATGAGGGAGACAAGAGGCAACCAACTCAATTTTTTTATGGCCCAACTCTCGTCTTCCATCTTTTCATAAAAGAACTCTCCCAGTGCAACTGAAATACAAAATTGACAAATACAGTAGTACATTATTACAGTACATAAAGAGGTCATAATTTGCATGTTAAGTAAGGAGTTACTGTATAAATATCCCATCCAGGACACTTATTTTGTTATCAACTGTATTTTGAACATCATTCCATAGTTTAATATTCAATTACTCATTAAGGATACTGTACTAGCAAATTTTTTTTCATTCATAAAAATGGATATTTTATTTTGAAAATGCCAATGTATGACCAAATCTGGACAAAGACACACGCATCATCCTACCAGCTGGGATTCGTCCATTATTTTTATACACTTTCCTATGAAGAGCAACACCCTAAAAAGGATTTTACATATAAGAATTGACCAATTAAAGCCTGAAGGTCAAGAGTTATTATATCACATCAACTGTGTGCACCTCATCTGTTATTTAATATCACCCATAATGATCAGTTCCTGCCAACAATTACATACCCATTGGGAGAAGTTAGGTAAGTATGTTACAGTAACTAGTTCAGACTCAACCATAAAATGGGATTTCAAGAATCAATCACTCATTTATCAAATTATGTCTCTCCGAAGTGACTAACATACTCCAAGACAACTAAGTAAGGGGAGGAGGAGGTGACAATATAAGCTCCAAATACTCCATTACCGAGGCCTGAAGGAACGTAACACTGACGTTCCATTTGTAAAACATTATGGGTTTAATCAATGTTGGATGCAGTCACAGAGTTGGAAGGTTTGTTGACAGACTAAAAAAATGTTCAATGACCTCATCAGACAAACTAATTGATCAAATGAAAAGTATTTAAATTCATGATGAACAACCCAAAAGAATATCTGACAACAATGCAAGACACTGCAAATACTGTACATTGGATTTTTGTGAACTAACTGCCCCTTCATCACAGAAGGTCAAAGGCCATCAATCACCAGCTACTTTATAAATCATTCATAGATAAACTTGCTACAAAGATCTTTGAATCAGGATTGGTAGCTTCTCATTCTAATACAGAAATCTAAGAAAACAGCAGTGATGTTAAATATGAGGAAATGATGATGCACTTAGTAACTCTAAATCCTGCAAACTGGCTCACTGATCCTGAGATTCACTTTGGTGATAAAGCTAATCACTACTTGAATAATTTGAGTATCAATGAACAATTCAATGTTGGGACTTTGACATTATATACTGTAGATGATAACAGAAAAATATAACCATCAACATTAAAATGAATGCTGCCTGGCATCAAATTCAATAATAACATCAACAACCAAATGTGACCACTCGCTCAGCTGCATAAACATTGCTATTAATGCTATACTTAATTGTCTTGGTATCGATATTCCATCATGCTTATTCTTCATCCAAAAAGTAAGCAAAAACGTGAATCAAATGGGAGGATGCAACACAGATTACACAGCAGAAAATCAAGGCTGAAATTCCACATGGTTACAAATCACTTAAACTATTTTAAAGTTCAGTTAATGTATTAGTGTGTTTTTTAATTTCTTAAATACTGTACAGTACACACAGCATAGATTCCATGTCACACAATGATTTTTACAATTTGAAAACTAAAATGTTTAAGGCGGAACAGATATTCCAAACACTGAAATAAAGAACAGCAATAATTATACAGTACAGTATGTAGAAACTGCTTCATGGATGCCATAACTAAAACATTAAACATTACATAAAACTCGTTCAATGTTTCATTTTCATATTTAAAGCGATTTAATCAGTAATACTATCACTGGATACTCTGTTCAGGTTATAAGTCAAGTATTTTGATTAAGAATTCTAAAGTGGAAAACAGTGTCACCATTGTAAACCTGAGTGTGCACTTTTTGGGGGGGTTTTCATTTCAATTGTTGCCACATGCAAATCTAATGTCACAAGTTATGGCCTTTTACTGTGAATGTGACTAAGCTTCTCGAGATCCGTTACTGGGATGTAGCTATGAAGAAAAGACATACAGTACCATAATGAATTACTAAATTAGTCCCAGCTACTAATGTCAGAGGGTTTCCTCCGTGTTTATACCTTTTCAACCTGTAGATTTAGTGGCTATAATACCGAACAAGTCACAAATGGGTAGACATTAGTTCATGAAGACCACCAAATAGTCTTTAGCATAAGTTTACTCAATGAAAATAAATACCAGTGGGAGAAGGACAAATATTTTACTTCTCATGGCAGAAGTTTCACATGTGACTACAACCAAATTATTTACTATCTATTACAATAGATGATTATAGTTGAATAATTCACATTAATCACAACCTATAATGTGAGTAAGTTAATTAACACTGACCAATGGAAAGAGCCATGAGAGATGAAGAAACAATCAGTAGTAATTTCCTTCCAGCCTTGTCCATTAGCACAGTAGCCAGAAATGTTGCAGCCACCTGCACAACACCAATGATGATGGAGCTCACGTTATCAGAAAACTTAGATCCAGCATCCTGTTAAATCAGATTCCATTAGTATAGGCTGCTTCAAGGAAAGGTTTCAATCTCTGGAAAGAGGACATATCAGAAAAAATATGAGACAATGTCATCTGTCTGATTTCTTCCTGCACTTTTTTTTTTTTGCCACTTGCTAGCCGTTTGGGCAGTCTATCCAGTGTAAGTACAGGAGGAAACCAGGGACCGGGAAACCTGTGAGGTTTGGTAGGGTCACAATGGATAACACATTTCTCACGTGTATACAGTACTGAATTTCTTATATGTTTCATGGAATATGGATGAAACTGGATACAATACTGTACAGTATAAATTATAAAAATCCACTATAAATAGTTTAATTTTATATTTGAGAAAATAATTTCTTGAAAATCTAAAAATTCACAAAATCTAAACCCAACCTTTACCCAATAAATTTGATTTAATGAGAATTTATTGCATACCCACAGATGTTAGTGTGATAAGGTTAATCCAAGCCTTTCACACCCAGAAGATACATGCTTCAAATATGACTCGGAAACTGTGTTCAAAATAAAAAAAAATGTGCATCTGAAGGTATGTTAGATGGAGAAACATGCAATGATATGAGCACACACAAGTTTTATATTTCTGCAAAATCAGAAAGAAATTAGGAAAATAGGAAGTGCAGAGACAATTATCCAACTTTTCAGTATAAGAAGGAAAGAGATGTGAATGAGAGAGAAAGGAACATCTGGGAGAGAGTTACTACATTACGTGTTTGCTGTTCAACATCTGGGAGAGAGTTACTACACTACGTGTTTGCTGTTCAACACCTACATTAATCTGTATGTTCACTGTATGTTCCTTTACCTTTCTCTAATGAAGGCTTTTGTTAAACCACCAATGTATGTAATAAGTCATTTATGTCCAATGTATATTTTCAGCCTTCGGGCTGCAGAACTTTTTCAATAAACCGTTAATTATTATTATTATTATTATTTATATGTAAGGTCTTGCAATTCAATGCAGTACTGAAATACCGTGGAGTAATACTACACTCCTACTTTCTGAATAACTTACACTAAATATGGTAGTTAAGTTGAAAAGAACAGGATTGACTCCAGAGAACTGCTGGAAGAACATAAGGGTAAGGGAGATCATGAGAGGCTTCAAAATGTATGGCTTCATGAAGTCTTTCAATGAGGTCTTGTTGTGCTTAGCTTCTTCCATGGATTGCCGCATCATGTCTAATTCTGTCTGGATGTTGCAGTCCTTACCTGTCAAGTATAATTAGTAACCTAATAGTAATTAAATCAATATAAGTAAATGGTAAATAGTGCATGTATGCTATTTCTACCTCAGTACTATATTCTATAAAAATTGAAGGATTGGTCCTGAAATCCCATTTCACGACTAATCCAGTAACTTCTGAAATACAGTATAACAATAAGTTCCAATGTCACTACAGTAAACTCCCTGTAACCCAGATTCACTTAATCTGGATACCCTTGCAAACCGAACTGGGGTTCAGCACCATACACATGTCTCCCCAACCCGAGAGAAAACAACCCAAATCCAGTTTGTATGGGGGTAAGTTCGTGTAAGCGAGGGCTGCCACTGGTAGCACAGAAGGGTAACTCAACAGCGGCCTCTGAGGAGGCAGTAGAAGTGTCTTAAGAAATATGAATAGTGTACAGTACATATAGTCAATGAAATTAGCAGTGAAAACATAATGTCGGGTTAAATAACCTTAATGTGTTTTCATAAAAAAATTGAGTGCCCATCATTATATCGTGTAGAAATATTTTGTTTCTGGGTCTTTTTTTTTTAATCAATCTTGTTGAGAATTTATTCAGGGTGATTATGGTATCAAATTCATCTTTCTAACACAATTAGAAAAGATGGCAAGGATAAAAGTGTACCGGTACACACTTGTTTGCTCGCCATAAATATTCTAGTCTTGGCCCCAGCCGGATATAATAAGACTGTGATAAGAGAATCGTACAAAGTATAAGAGTGTTTCTTATGGTAAACATTATTACTGCACTAAAATATGTCGGATAATTAAAAATACAAGCACATAGTACATGTTAATAATAAAGTACTGAACTTATTAATTATTAAATTATCACAATGCTAGCTGTTTCAAGCTGAGGTGCGGGCCGCACGGCTGGCGTGCGCCACCAAAACTGAAACAAAGCGCCCAGCCGACATATTTCAAATGTAGCCACCTTGCAAAAATAGCCTATTTTCTGAAAAACCTGGTTTCCTAAAAGCAAGATAAATGGTCCAGTACTGTCAATAAATACTCAAACTTATTAAACTCAAAGATTATGAATTGTATATAGGTCACATATATTTACTATAATCCTCTCTAAAATTACCAATACCTGTACTGTACAGCGTACAGTACAGTCCATATTTAGACATAAACTGACTGTCATAACAGTACAATATGTATCCATTACCTCGGAAGAATTGAAGAGCAGCTGTAGCTTGTTCCTCTTTTCCTTTTGAAAGCAGGAAACTTGGGGATTCTTTTGTAAATAACATGAGCACACAGCAAAGGATAGAAGGAATTATACACAATCCTGCAAGCAACTGCCAGGTTGAGACAAGTGCTCCTAATGCATAAGAGTACACCACACCAATGGTTACCATTAACTGGAATGCACTTCCTGTAAATCAAAGAGTAGATACTTAATACGTATGCTGTTTATTGTCATACTATGCAGAAAGTAGCACATTCACACTTAAAATGTCTACATACATGGGATCAGTTAAGTCTCATCCAATGCAGATTTATCCAATATGGATTTAATTACTGTATACTGTACTGTACAGTACATGGTTAAATAAATGTAACAAATTATTTGTAAAACAGATCAAATTTGAGTATACACCATGTACAGTACTGTACTATGAGGTAAAGTCAGTGGTAGGCTCACCCAGCCTAGCCTATGAGCTTAGAAAACTTGCCGGCTTGTAATTGTTATCATTTTCTCTACCTCGTAGAATGTACATCTTCTTTGTTTACTCGTTTCTCGTAATTTTACGATCGACCCCCAACAATGATGAGTCCAAAGAAGACAGATAACATTACAAGCAGTGCCGCTCCCAAGGATAAGGAGCAAGCCTTGAAGATAAAACTGGACATAATACAGTGACTGGACTCTGGTGCAAAAATGCATGACATCCACTTTAACTTTGAACTCTGGGAAGTACAGTAAAGTACGTACAGTATATACTAAATCAATGTTTAATCCTGTTAGGTCTGCTTTTAAGTTCAAAATTATTTGGGCTGGAGTGCATCTCAATTTTAATAAAAAATTATGGGGCTGAAATACATCTCGACTTTTAACGAAGGATCCGATGGGAAAACCAATCCGTAGAACGAGAATTCACCAGGCGAGCACTTTTTCGGGAATGCATATCACATGTCAAGAGGGACCTTCTGCACTACAACAAAAAAATACAGATAACTAAATCTTTAACACGGTATAGAGATGATGGCACATGGGAGAACTGATGTTTAAGGCATTGTATATATTCTTTTAAATGAAAAATAATGTTTTATTTCCCAAGGGTATAAGATATGTAGAGGAGCTTTTGGAGTTAAAAAATGCCTTTGAAATATAATCCTAGTGACTCACCTAAAGTTCCCCTTACATCAGCTGAAGCATATTCACCAATATAAGTGGGGACAACAAGGGAAGTCATCCCAGCACAGAGGCCAGTCACAATACGTCCACTTATCAACATGGCAAAGTTCCGTGCAAGAGCTGAGGAAACATGATAATATATAATTAACCGCCGTACAAAAAAGGACCAACATTAATCATTTATTATACTATTATTTCTCTCTAAAATATGTGGGAAGAAAGTACATTAAGCCTCACTAAAAAGAGAGAAAAAATAGGGCCAATTCTTAAAATCAGCTTCATGGTTAAAGGACCGAGGTGAATGGCTCACTAAACACCCCATTATGGTGCCTGTTTGTATTACAGGGTATAGTAAATAGGCAGTAAGAAGCATCGTTCATGTGAATAATCCAATTGCTGTACATCATCATCTCTCTCAGATGCATTCAATGCTTAAAAGCTATTGTATCCAGTAATATGGTGGTTGCTTCTAGTACTAAGTACAGTAAATCCTCTGTCAGAAGTTTTGGAGTCAATGAATTCTTCTATAACAAAAAAAAAAAAAAAAAAAATCACAATAGGTAATTCACATCCTCAGTTCTGACTGACTCCAGCCTCTATAAAACTATACAAGGGGTCCCTGACTTACAAATGCCCGCTGATACAAATGAGGTTAAACTTTAAATTTACAGTACACTGTATTTTATTTACCCGATTACTTATTCTTTATTTTCATTTGCTGTTTTTTATCATTCTATTTCTTATTTTCTCTTAAATTAATTGATTTTAGATGTTTATGAGGACCTAGGCTATGAAATACAGTATTACCCCGCTTTACGTGGTTTCACTTTCCGCGATTTCTCATTTACGCGGTGCCTCGCCAGAACCGAACTTTCACTTTCCGCGGTGCATCTACTCATATACGCAGGAAGCGGCGCGGGCAGGATGCGAACAAGGTCGCCCAGTCATCAAAACATTACCGAGTTCTTCACCCGCCACCCACCACAGCCGGCCCAAGTCAGTGATAGTGATAATTATAGTGAGGATATGGACTTATATGGACTTTGAGGGGTTTGACAAAGAAGCCCTGCAAGCCTCTGTGGTGGATAGTGATACAATTGATACAAGTGATACAGGTGAGGGCCAATAATCTGCTCTCTGCCTCGGAACCAACCCCCCATCCCCGTGTGCCCAGCCATCTTTTCTACTAATGTGTTAAAAATACTAATATTATTGATATTTCTCTTAATTATTAATTGTGTGTGCATGCCATCATAAAGTTAAGATAATATTTTGACTACAAAATAGTTGTGTGTCGTCAAAAAGTGGAGTTTGGGGGTCGGGCCAGTCTCTATTGGAATTAATCCCATATGTTCTGTTGTTCACTTTACGCGGTTTTCACTTTACGCGGTACCCTGTGGGTTCAATTGACAGCGTAAATCGGGGTACTACTGTAGTGGGATTTTAAACATTGTTCTGTAAGTGCGGTATACACAGCATGTGTTTTGACCAAAGAAAGTCCTCGGGAACGGAACCCGTTTGTAACCCGGGGACCCCCTGTACACTAGAGTATCAGCAGCTTTAATTGACTTGGCCTTTATAAAACTACATCCAGTACTGTATCAGCAAATTGATTTAACAACACTGCCACCACCAACTGCCTTGTTTGAGCAATTTTGGCATTTTATGGGACTAAAAATCTGCTGTGAGGCAGGGAAATGAGGCATTTTAGGTGAAAGTAGTTCATCAGAGATCTGTTTTCAACCCCCTTCTGTTTATCATGGTACAGTACTGTACTACTAAAGGCACTATCATGGAAATTTACAGTAGTATTAGTCTGCCCTGGGAGTTGTTGTATGTTGTTGACTTAGCAGATAGTATAGAAAAGACCGTGGAAAATTTTAAGAAGTGAAAGGATCGAATAATGCCAAAGGGCATGAGAGTAAATTTAACAAAAAGAAAAGTATTGATTAGTGAGAGACCCCTTGGTGGAAAGTGAAAAATGGCCATGTGATGTCTGTATGAAAGGCATTGGCAGCAACTCAATAATGTGTAGTGGGTGTAGAAGTTGAATACTGTACACAAGAAGTGCAGTGTTGTAAATGGCATACTTTATTGTAGGATGTTGTTGACTTTAAGTGTTCGGCAGGAGAAACTCAACATTAAGGATATATCTCTGGATTGTGTCGATGAGTTCTGGTACTGTATCTGGGTGATATAATCAGTATTGGAGGTGGTGATTGAAGCTAGCTCAGTTGCTAGAGTCAGAAATTGCTGGAAGAAGTTTTAAGGAGTTGCTGCCTCTATTGACAGCGAGAGGTCCTTCCCTCCGTATAGAAGGAAAGATTGACCCAGAGCCCCGACAATATTAAATAAAAGAAGGTTCAGTGTACTGGTGTACTGTATTACATAAAAAAGAAGCAAAGCAAGCTAAAGGACTTACCAATGAGAAGCCAACCCAAGGAGAAAGGTGCCACTAGGGCCATTATGGTGCCCCGTCTACCCAGAGTGTTGAGACACACACCACCGACAGGACCTCCGACCAGTGCTCCCAGGTTCATTGATGACGAAAACCACATATTTTGTTCCTTAGTGAGGTGAAGTGATCCAGTGGTAGAGTTTGACATCAATTTGACCCCAGCAGGTGAAGAGTATCCCAGGACAGTCCCCATAGCAAGGGCACCCATGGTGGCTGATGACACAGTATTTGTAGTGGCCATATATACAATATTATAATTTAATACAATATTATAATTTAATACTGTACCTGTACCTAATAATATGCAAAAGAAATTATAAATAATTCTCACCCTTGTTAGATTCTTGCATGGATCTTTGATGAAATACATGTCATTATCTTTTCAACTAAAACACTACAATTTCCTGCATTTAAAGTAAGAAATTAAATTAAATTTCCCTCATAGTCAAGCAATAGCTGACCATTTAACACCTCAAGCAACCTCTAATTTCAAAAGTCATGCTTCCCCCCCAAAAAAATTTGGATATACTGAATTTCATAACTCGGGAAGGTTTTTCCAATTACAGTGACCCCTCGGTTAATAAACTCAATCCGTTCCAGAAGGTCGTTCGTTAACCGAAAAGTTCGTTAATTGGTTCCAGCTCACCGAAAATTTCCTAAATTCAACAAAAATGGTAGAAAAGTTCACTTACTTTGAGGTGTGTATGTAGAAGGCTCCTGGATGATGATGATGATGTGCATTTGAAGTGGGAGGTGGAGGAGAAGGAAGAAGAGAAGGCATTAGGGTGGAAGAGAAGTCACCCCATGGCACCATTTCACCCATAAAATTTTAGTTCTCTTGGTGTATTTCAAGATTATTTTCTTTAAATCAACACTGCACTGCATTAAATATTGTCAATATGTAAAATATATTTCAAAATGACCAATAATTTGCTTGGAAACACAGAAAAAAAGCATTTAGTTGAAGAGAGTCTCAAGCAAGATATTACCTCCAATGAAAACAGAGAGAGGCTAACGCCTGTTTGCTGTGTTAAGAGGGTGGATGCCGCGCATTAAACTAGTCACTTTACCTTCAATTATGTTCAATAATTGTTAAAAGGACTAAAATATTCAACTTTTAAAATTATTGAATAGTACTGTATAAATTTCTTGATATTTACTAAAATAGTAAGAATTTAAGCCCTAGAACCGATTAATGTATTGGCGGACTGATACTAAAGCTGGTTGCCCGGTCAGTGCAAGCGAAAACATGTTGAGGTCGGTTCGTAAGAAATTCGTTAACCGAATTGAAGATCCTTATGGAAGGCAGTTCGTTAATCGAAATTTCGTTAACCGAGGCGTTCGTTAAACGAGGGGTCACTGTACTTGTATCTAGAGGGAAAAATTAGGGATACGTTCTGGGCAGCTTTACCAACTTTTCTCCTGACCTGAAAAAATGTAAATTCCTTTTTAAGAAATACTGTACACTAATAATAAAGGTAAGAATATATAAAGTACTGTATGCAAATATTAAAATGGCAAAATATTAATTCAGCTCAAAGGAAAAATAATGTACAGGTACTGTAGGGATGGTCAGGTGTGGCCCGCGGGATAACAGTAAAATTTATCATCCCGTGAAATTATGATAGAAATAGATACAATCATGTTTATTTAGTAAAATGATTTTTACGTACTTAAGATCAGACAAACCCAAATGAGGTATTCCTGGTAAGCCAGGTAAGGCAATGTGTGAAGCTGTTAACTTCAATCCTGCAAATCTGTGATATAGCACTTGTGTTGGCCCTGAATAGGGTAGCTAAAATAAGAATTGGCCCTCGAAAGGTTTTGAGTTTGACACTACTGGTGTCAAACCGATGCACTCAACTGTGATAACAAAACAAAGTGGACTGTTAATTGAAATGGAAAGATTGTTAGTGATGTTGGTGGTCGGTCAACCGGCTCAAGGTTTCAATGTAAGTGTATACCTTTAATTTTTACTTTCCCATACTGTATTTTGTCAGTCAATTTCTTCTTTTCTCTTAAATTAAATTAATCAAGATGTATAAAAGGACTTAGGCTAGGATATAGTGCACATAAGGCATGTGTTCCGAATTACGCACATTTCCAACATAAGAATATCCTCAGGAGCGGAACTCGTTCGTAACCCGAGGAACCCGTTTTTTGTTTGTTTTGGGGGGGAATTAGCCCACCCGGGCACAGATTAAACGACCCACAACGGAGCCTGGGGAGAACAGAAAAAAATTGAAAATAGAGAAAAAAAAGGTTATACAGTGTTAATCTACACCACGAAGATGCCGGAAAACCAGCTTTTTAAAGTGAGACATTGTATAAGTATGGAAACACAGAAGAAGGCAGAGCATTCCACAGTTTGGCTGTGTGGGGAAAGAAGGAGGTACTATAACGGGTTATTCTCGTGTGACCGACATCCACAGAGAAATGGTGGGCACCGCGGGCAAGACGTGTTACGAGCCCACAGCCTTGCCGGCAGTACACAGGATGCAAATCCATTGAACATTGCCCGTTAAAGTACCTGTAAAAGAGAGAGAGTGAAGCAACATTGCAGTGAAGAGAAAGGGAAGAGAGATTGTCGACTAAAGGAGGAGAGTTAATAAGACGAAATGCCTTTGATTCCACCCTATCTAATAGTTGGACAGAAGAAGAGCCACCCCAGATATGAGAGCAGTACTCCAAGTTAGGACGAATGAATCCCTTATATACTTGGAGCAACTGCTCAGGAGTGAAGTAGCTACAGCATCTGTACAGCATTCCCAACTTTCGGGAGGCGGCTTTAGCTATAAGAGTATTAAGGATGTGTGATTTCCAGGACATATTGGAGGAAATGGTGAGGCCTAACATATTTATTTCAGAATTTGGCAGGATGATAGCATCCTGAAATGTAATTGGTGGGAGATCGTCTAATTTACAAAGTGTAATTGGTAAATACAGTATTGAGTTTTATTACTATTAAACTTAACCAATTTTGTACCTCCCCATTCAGAGATGCTGCACAGATCCGCATTGATAGAAGTAATGATATCAGCTCTAGAAACAGATCTAGTTTGAGAGTTAGGAGGAAGGGGAAAATGTGAAGAACAGTGGAGAGTAGAATCATCAGCATAAGAATGGATAGAATTAGTTGTAGTGTGAAGTAAATCATTGATAAAAAGAAGGAAAAGAGCAGGTGAAAGAACAGAACCCTGTGGGACACCACTACTTCTTAACTAGAGGAATGGCTGCATGTAAAACACATCCTTGGTGCTTGTACAATATTGAATGTCAAAATACTTTGTTTTTGATCTACTGTGTCTCCTAGTCCTTGCATATTACTGTTCACTCCAGCACATTGCATTCCAGTATATAGGTGCTCCTCTACTTAAGAATGTTCAACTTACAAACTTTCAGAGATACAAACATCATCTCTGAAGGGGGTTACCTGCCAGAACAGGTGTTTAATGTGGATGAGACTGGATTATTTTGAAGAAAATTTCAGATAGAACAAACATTACCTAAGAGAAGAGTGAGCCAGGTTTTAAGGCTGTATTAAAGGGCATAGCTGTACTAAATATAGGCTGTATTAAAGGGTATAGCTGTACTAAATATCCATAATCGTTTCATTTTTTACAATATGTTTGGTATCTACAAGAGTAAAGTTGGACTTACAAACAAGCCTCAGGAACATAACTTGTTCGTAAGTAGAGGAGCACCTGTACTCTCTTCCATCAGATCATTCACCATTTCACATGTAGTTTTCCTCTAGTGCATTTACACATTCTCTCACCCATGTTTCACACATTCTCTCAACACAAATTCTTACCACATTTGATTTGGATTTTTCATGATCTTCTGTGTCAATAAATCTTATTTATTTTCTTCCAATTTCTCACACTGTCCATTCTATGTACAGTACTCTACAACTAAATCTTAAGTATCCATCGACATTATGTACCCTTTATTCAATCCGTTAAATTTGACTAATGGATGATGGACTGGATATTGATAACCAAATATTGTAGTTTATAAAAATATCTAAATATTCAGAAAGCAAATAAACATTCAAATATGAGCCATAATAATTGGGGAAATAATAAAATTAAGAGATCATAAATAACTACAAAAGATTATCTTCCACGTGTCATGAAATACCATAACCTGATTGGAAACCCCAAGGCAAGATAATACATATGAGAACAATATCATGTGTTTATTACTAGAGTACACGATACTAACCACACACTACATGAGCTGTAAACAATATCAAGGCCTTGTTTTATCTATTCATCTAAATATACCCTACACACATGCTCTCTCTCTAATCAGCAGTGAATCATGGAGAGCCTACCTCCTCTTTACCATGATATGAATACAGTAGAATGAAACCTCATGGGAAATTCAAAAAAATTTCATAAAGGGCTTCATTTTTGGGCATCCAGTCATCATTTTATCAATTATAAAGCAAGCCAACTTGAGATGCACACTCGTCACTTGAGCAAACAGGTAAGGGATACATAAACTTTCTGAGACAATATGTTGTGTACTTGTCAACAAAATTCCTGTCCCCTCACCTGCCTCTTCATGAACCCAGAGAATTGCAGACATCTCAGATCTCTGAATCTCTGGGTTCACGAAGAGGCAGGTGAGGCAACAGGAATTTTGTTGGCGAGTGTACATGTATCCCTCGCTATGTGAACAATCGCAATACGAAAAATAAATTCTTACACTCTTTGTTTTTTTAATATTCAAAAGTAATGTTCATTTATACAAAAAATAGTCAGATCGAAAATTTAAATCACATTTGCCCAGGAGTCCGCTGGGGGGCCGCCTTGAAGAGGTGTCCAGGAATGTATTCTTACTCATGGAGCATATCATCACCCACCCTCCTTCTCGCATCCCCCTCAATCAGTGTTATCTCATACCATTTGCTTTGTGCTTGGTTGAAGTCAAGTGCTCTCTCTTTATTCGTGTGTATTACTGTAATGTCATCCTTTCGTGAATCTGTACGCAAAGACAGCCAAGTGTTGTGCCGATTCCTCGGCTACCCACACCATCACCAAGAGACCATGTAAGCCTATGATAGTTGAAAACAAGCTTGAAATAACCCAGCGTCATGAACACAAAAAGGCCCAATTAAGATCGAGAGAGACCTGCTTCACATTAGGTAATATACAGACTGTACAGTATATACAGTACAAATTTTATTTGTTCATAAATTTTTA